CGTCGGAGCGTTTGCATCTGTAGCATGCATCTACACAGCAGCACAAGATCCAACTACTTCTGGAAGGTCCAGGTGTTTTAGTGTAAATGTAGGTGCAACAAAGAGACTTTAAAGTGCCATACAAAGAAAATGGGACATTTGCATTGTTCATATAATCTGTGTTAATGTTATTTACTTACCTTTATAATGGAAGTTAAAGGTTGTTAATATTGATTTGTGTATTAAGGTATCTGCAGTAAGTATTTGCAGACTAAGTAACAAAGTACATTTAAAGGACAACATCTTTCAAGTGATAAGTGTTGAAGAAATGTACCAAGTTTTGTTGTTTGCCTATATCATTATCACTTGTGATTTTCATTTAAATAAGGCTCAATAGCTGTGTATAAGCTTAAGATAACTCAAAGCTAATATCTAAATTGGCTAACTACTTAGCTTTAAAGATAATTAAATATTAGAGTTAAAACCAACTTTAAGTAAACAAGTAAATGTCAGATGTTCAGTCCTTACACTAAGCGGCCCGTCTACAACTAACAGGCATCGAAAATGCTTTCAACGCTTGCGCCCATTCAGGGCTTGAAGGGGTGACGTAGAAAAGATTTTTAATCCCTTCGCCGAACTGCATTGTGGGGAGCATGGGCATGGTTTGGCAAGGCATACACAGAGCCATCGATATCCGGCCATCAAAGTGAACCCAATGTTCACTTTTGAGGCTCGATGCTTGCATGCAGCCCAATCCAAATGCGCAAGTTTATGCAATCGCCGCCAGTGCAGCGCAGGGCAAAAAGCCAAACCGCGTGCAAGCTGGAGAGAGGCCAGAGCCGCAGTTCATATTCCTCATATTCCAAAGGCGAAGATATTACGGAAGCAAAATCACCGCGGTTCTTTGCGACGCAGAACTATTTTGCCGGGATACAAACCGGAGGAGACGCAGGCATGGAGGGAGGTGGCAGAGACAGATGGGTGAAATTGGATAAGGTCTTTTCGGGCCTGTTTGAGAGTTTATATCCAGTTTTACTTCGTTTTCATTGCTGATTGCTTTGTAATGTCGGGGGAAGGAGATCATGTATTGGTTGTTGGTCGCGAATTGCTCAGCAAAAAATCCGCCAAGCTTCAGACATGCCCACTTCAAGATTTTTTGAATGCCTGTAGTGTAGACGCGGCCGTAAGAGTGATGAAGTGAGTACAGTAGAAAACGAGCAACCACAGGCAACTGAAGATCCGAAAATGGATAGCCTTTCCACACAAGAGCCACAAAGGAGCCAAAGAGTACGGAAGAACTGCACGATGAGCAAGTAACAAGACTTGTACACCGTTTCAGTGTGAGCTATAAAAGGTGGAAAGATATCACAAAGGAAGCCAAACAAGCGCTAAGTGGTCAATGCTCTAATGACCTGCTGCATGAATACATCACTAAGGTAAGCAAGACCTCCAATGATGTAAATATTGATTATGAAGAGTTGAGGCTCATTGACATTCCCGACCATGACGCACGTCGCAAAGAAGACACCAAAGACAATCATTGAGACTGCAAGAGAACGAATAGACACAAGAAAGGACAAAAGTCATGAGGAAGAAGAAATTGGTAAAGACCAGACAGTCTGTATGCCAAATCTGTTGCCTCTGTTAAGAGAAGTAATGGCTCTCATGTCACCAGGTCCTCGACTCACTCTCGTAGCAACTCGAGAGCCACATCAAGAAGTTCATTCCTCTCTTCTATCAAAAGACA